TTAAAAACTTTTGGCTAAGAATAACTATAAGAAAAGCACCACTGGGGCTGGAGAGATAGTACATCAGGGAGGGTACTTACCCTTCAAGCGGCCAACCTGGGGTTAGATCCCTAGTATCATGTCAAAACAATCCTGTGTAGTTTAAATGTGAGATTCAAAAGATCCAGAAGTCAGACTAGGGAATCAAGCACCTAGACCTGCTTTCCAGTACCTGTCTCTCAGTCTGTTTTTTCACCGTAAGATAAGGGACTTTGAGGGCTGGAGAGAGCACAGTCTTTAGAGTACTTACATGTAAGTACATGCATGCATGTAAGTTGCTTGCATGCAGGCAACCGGGGTTCAATATCCATCTCTTGCTATGGTCCCCTGAGCTTGCCAGGAGTGATCCCTGAGTGCAGAGCCAGGAGAAATCCCTAAGCACCACCAGGTATGACCCAAAACAAACAAACAAAATTTAAAAGGGACTTAGACTTAAGACACTGTTTAATTCTGACCATTGGCAACAGCATAAAGAGGGGAAAGCTGAGAAGGCCAGCTGCAGGCAGGGACACAGCTCAGCTCTGAGTGCCCAGGGACTGTCCTTTATAACACCCTGTAGAAAATGTGGAAGTACAGAAACATATAAGGTAGGTGACACATTTGTACTCTGGCCATCCCCAGTGATGACTCCAGAGACATCAGGCCATAGTGCACTTTGATCTGTTTGGCTTTGGTTAGTTCACACTATCAATAAACCCTTCAGGGTTCTCTCCTAAACCTTTAAGGTCTCAAAGTTCTTGGCTAGGCTTGATGCTGCCTGTAGCAGGCCCCCTGGAACCATCTAATAATAAACCAATATCGTAGGCACCTTTAGATCATAATCACATTTTAACCAGAGTAGAAATGAAGCACACAGTTTACTACACATCTTAATGCTCAAACTGCCAGCCATCGAAGAATTTACAAAACCTTGACCTTGTTCCTCTTCCTCAGGTGTCTCTCAGATGTGAAAGCTTCCCGGGGGCCACAGTGAGAATGAGACACCCCCTTGCTCCCTTGCCCCTAGTTATAGCTCCCTGTCCTCCCAGTCTTGCCTTATGCTGAAGCAGTCGCTGTGCCCATGGTCTCTCTCGCCACAGTGCTCGCCCTGATGGAGGATGAAGGAAGATTATGGGCCTGAGCCCAGGTGCCTGAATGCACCCTGGCGCTGCTCCGGCCTGGGCATATAATGTCAGGAGCCATGGAAGGTTCTGGTCTGTTTGCCCCTTCCTGTTAGTGGCCATGGTCTGATGGAGTTGTTGGGAGGGTTGTCCGAGATATGGCTGTGAAGATGTCTCCCCTGCTCCGGGGCTCAGAGTAGACATCCGATAAAGCTTTGTTGTTTTTCCTTCCCTTTAAGGTAAGGGACCATGACTTCTAAATCTGTACATTTCTAGTACTTCTGGAAAACTTGTTCTCAGTGGGAACTGGATAAACTTCCTCCTAAAATGGGAATTGAACCTTCCCTGTTTAAGGAAACTGGGTCTATTTATTTTAGAGATTATTATTTATAGAAATAATGCAAGATAAAAAATGTAACTGCTTGGCTTTCTCTAATTAGCTATTATTAATATTAGCTATTATTTACAGCTAATAGAAAACAAAGTAATATTAGTATTATTAACATATAATTATTATGAGCTAGTTAATATTATCTATTGTTTATAGACAATAAAAATAATTTTCTGAAATAGCTGATATGTATCTTGAGGCAGTAACAAATTCTGACAATTTTTTTTCTGGTTTACTTAGTTTAGACTTTCTAAACACAAGAAAATATCAGTGCTACATGGGCTGAAGGGTCCTCTATTTAATGGGTTATTCTTTTAAGATATCTATTTTTATACATTTATTATAAACTGCATAAATTCTCTGGAAGAATTAGAAATAAGTTGATGGCAGTTTCCTTTGGGAAGAAGGTTAACGGTCAAGAAGGAGATTTATTTTCACTGTATGCATTTTCATATGATTTGAAATTTGGGCTAGATAGGCATTTTTTTTGTTTTGGGGTCACACCAGGTAATGTGCTCAGGGATCATTCCTGGTGGCCTTGGGGGACCATATGAAATACTGGCGGTCAAACCCAGGTTGGCCACGTGCAAGGCAAGTACCCTGCCTGCTGTACTACCCTCCAGCCCTGGTAGGCATGGTTTTAAAAGTTATATTTATATTAGTATATATATATATACATGTTTATTGGATATATGTATATATGCCTATTAGTGTGCATATATATATATATATTCCTATACACTAGTAGTAATGTAACAAGAAATTTGAGTGGTAGATCTTTATTTTTAACTTTATTAATAATTGTTTTATATAACAAAATCTTCCATACATTTTTGTTGGGTTTTGGGGGGCCACACTTGGTGATGCTTGGGGACTATTTCTAGCTCTGTACTCAGGACTGACCCCAACAGTGCCAAGAATTGAACCTGGTGGGATATATGCAAGGCAGGAGCTTTGCTTACTATATCATCTTCCCAGCCTCATTATAAATGCTGTTTCAGACCTTTTTTCTCAGGTGGCTTTCTGTACAGGTGTGGGTCAGTGGAGACTTCCTGTCACATGAGCTGTTGTCTACACAGTCAAGGGGAAGCTCAGCCTTTCCTTCTGCGGAGCTCCTAGAGCTCAGGTTCAGGACTGTGCCCACCCCCTGCTGCTAAGGGGGGTGGAGGTGGGGCAGGGGGCAGGCAGGGGAAGCAGCATCAGAGAGTCAGAACCCACACTTCATAGAGCTGGGGTATAGTTGAGAGAAAACAGGCTCTCTGTGACTCCCAGAAAATTGAGAGCCACAGGCCTTTGAGTCCAGCCCACCAGGACCATCATCCCCACCCCAGAAAAACCAGAGCTCTGTCTTCCGCTGGACCTTAGTTTGGGAACTTGTTTTTAATAAGATATTCAGTTTCTCCTTTTCCTTTGGTACCCACTGAGTGATTATCAGCAGGGTCCTTCGTTTCTTCCGAGCTTCCTTGATATTAACCCCAAAGGGATGGAGTGAGGATTAGATATTACTAATTTATGCAAATACTTAGAGCTGGTAAGTATTCCTCAGAGTGTTAGTGACCATTTTTGGTTTCTGAATTTGGAATTCCATCAGGGATTCCTAAATCTTGACACCATGGCAGCCACAGGTCATTCCAATGGGTTTCTGGAAGCCCATTTTCCAAGCAGTAGGATTGCTGAAGATACAGATATCATCACAGGCAAGCTGAGTTACTGGGGATTTTTCTGAGCCCCAAGTCTGTGATTTTGTGAGTTGCAAGTCTGAGGCTCTTCTGCTCCCCAAGGCTTCCTGGGGAGATCAGACTGTTTTAGAAATTGCCATGCCCAGGGCTGCTTGTTCATTAAATTGTCCTTTGCACATGAACTGGTATTCAGGATAGGAGCAATCTCCTGTTTGGAAAGATAATCTGTGTATGTATAATTAGGAAATAGCCACCCAGAGGCCAGAGGGGAAGTAAAGAGATGAGGCTCTTGCCTTCAACATGGCCAATCTCTGTGGAATCCCCTTCACCACATAAGGGCCCCCAAGCACTTCCAGGAGTGACCTAAGCGCAAAGACAGGAGGAAAAGCCTTGAGCACCATAGGTGCTCAAGTTGGTGTCCCAACTACCTGCACAAAATGCCACCCACACTCAAGCAAAGAATGACTGCCACCTCTTTGCAGCATCTCAGGAATTGTGTTATTGTACCATTGCTCCAACATTCACTGTTCCCTGCAACCATCCGCAGTGGCTTGTCATAATGTGAGAGACCCCAGCCTTGCTAGGGGTCCTCCTCCTGGGTCTCATATTAATCTATTAACTGTGTGTTAAGCAAATGAATTTGGGTTGAATGTTTAAATAAGATATTTCCCACCTTACTCTAAAGCGATAAATATACCTTAGGGTTTTTAAAGCTTATTACTTAAATGGTGCTCAGTATCTGAGTATCTTCGGAAAGGGACTATTCAAATTGTTGTTTGGTGGGAAGGGAGAAGACAGAAATGCATGCATAATGAAGTATCAGCTTTGTAAACTCCATATACAAATGTAACAGACTTTCACTTACTAATCATGCCATTTCTTCTAGATATTGCACAAACTCTGGGAAGTCTCCCTGAATATTGAGTCACACTTGCTCTGCTTAATATGATTTTTGTCCTTGGAAAGAGCTTGGGATGAAATTGTGGACAGTCTGAATTTTTTTTTTAGAAGCAAGTGAATTAAAAATTCAAGTGCATACTCACGATGATCCCCAGAGGGACATTGACCTAACTTGGAGTATCCATTTTGTTTCCCTGAAAGAAGAAAATCATCTTTGGAAAGTTGAACATTTTCCAACCTGCTAACAGCTATTTCTCTTCTCCTTAGGTTCATTTCATACCCAATTCCAAGAAGAAAGTTTTCTCTTAGGAGAAGAATATTTTAAAGTGAGCTTAGCTAATCTGTATCTTCACCTTCCTTGACTCATAAGGAAAAGCCGGGGCTATAGAGAAAGAACTCTGGCATCCTTTGGCTCCAAAAAAGACCAGTGACTGCAGCCTTTTCATAACTGAATACCAGCACTGGTCCGCACTGGTGGTTGAAAACCAGTCTCTGACAGGATCCATATGTGTCTCACATTAAGTGGCCAAATCATGGTGCAGGCAGACTTCTGAAGATCTGGGGTCCATATTGATCTGTTGTGATCTGGGCTGGACATTCAGATCAGAGGGAAATGACCATGGTGTGCTGTGGGTCTGCTCTGAGTGAAGATACCCGACTCAGAAGGCTGGCAAGGATGTGACTCATTCCTCTTGGCCCTTGCTTTCTAGCCCAGTGGCCCCTGGTAGCCCTCAACATGCAAGCTGATGCTGCGTGTGCCCTGAAGGGTGTACGTGACAGGTCATGTCCCCATGAGCACTGTTGGCCTGTATTTTGTCCCTGGTTTATTTGCTGTGATTTACGTCTTTCCCTCCCACACTGACGTGACTCTTTGTTTTCTGTGTGTTGCAGGAAGCATAGTGTACCTCGGGATGATGGTGGGGGCGTTCTTCTGGGGCGGCCTGGCGGACAAAGTGGGAAGGAAACAGTCTCTTCTGATTTGCATGTCTGTCAACGGATTCTTTGCCTTCCTTTCTTCATTTGTCCAAGGCTATGGCTTCTTTCTCTTCTGTCGCTTACTTTCCGGATTCGGGTAAGGTTTGCTTCTTCATATTTTGTACAGATGTATTTATTCTTCATAATGGTACATGTCCTCCACTCTCGAGGGCCTTGTTACCAAGAAATGGCCTCTTCCCACACCCCCCTGTCTTCATGTCAGCCCTAGGAGCCTCCAGGCTGCTTCTTAGAAATGTTAACTATTAACCATTAAGTCCCGAAGTGAAGGAAGCTTACGCTTGTGTTTCATTCTTTTCATTTAGTGCTTCACTTTGAGGAAATGCAATATTGTTTTAAATGCAGACATCAGAGTTCTCTGGTGGAGCAAAATAATAATAATAATAATACGTAAATGTATTTTACTTTTGAAAAATTGATAAAGAAATAGCTAAAGAAATAGCTCTGATCCAATTATTATGAACTAATTAAAAGTTTGAGCACTAAAGTTTAAGAGCATGCTCTTAAATCCAGGATGAGAATGTCTCAAGTAAATGTTGTTTGATGTATGTGTACTAACAGCATATTTAACTATGTAGTAAGCCTTCTTCTTGAGACATAATAGGGCTTTTGGTATGTTCCCTAATTCTGTTAAATTAATGAAAGTTGTAGTATTAGTCAAGTGTAAAGACCTAAGTACAGTTGGCTGTACTGTTATTTTCTCCATGAAGTATGAAACATTTCTATAATAACTGAATCCACAAACTTAGGAAAACCAAATCTCTTGTTTAGGAAAGAATGAAAAACACTGTGTTGATTCACACAAAAATGCTAAAATGTTTTGGACTTATAATTGATAACATTAGTTTAATTTGAGACATTCTTCATGAGGCTCATAATGTAAGATGAATCTGTGAATCTATGGGAAGATGAATCGATGGGAATAATATAAATGGAAATAGTCAGTGAAGAAAGGGAAGGTGATAGTGCTGGTAAGTTTGAGACTCAAGTAAATTGTGGTTGATGATACTGGTGCCCACCCAGAAAAGCACAATTTTGTCCCAAGAGAAGGTCAGAGAACTTCTGTTTTCTTCTTAGGCACATGTAACAGGAATACTTTCAGATAAAAGAGAGGACTATTAGAAATGCAAAGCTTCAGAGGGAATGACTGTTGTTGGGTTGTAAGATTTGAAATCAGTCCTCGTTAGTGCAGGGTAAGAAAGACTGAAGAAGGAGAGCAACAATTCCATGATGGGAGGTAGGTAACATTTGTGGGTTTTTTTTTTCTTTCAGGGGTTAGAGAGGAAGTTGGGCCATACCTCGTCTGTGTAGAGATAACTAATGACTTTGTGCTCAGGGATCACTCCTGGCAGTGCAGAGAGACTGTGTATGGTGTTAGGGATGGAACCTGGGCAAGGCAAGAACCTGACCCACTGTACCACCTGACCTGGTAGATAGCAGTTTTAATGAACAACAAAAATCACAAAACTTTGTCTTGGGTGGACGCAAGACAAGTTTTTCACCCTTCCTATCAAATCATAGAAGTTGACAGAGAAGACTCTGCTGGATTTAATCATGCACGTGACCAGATGGTCTTAACACAATGCTTTCTCAGGTTTGAGTTATTTTGGGGATAGGAAGCCAAGAAGAATGAAATTGCAAATAACAGGGAAGGGAAATAGAAGCCTCCAATTGCCCAGATCCAGAGCATTGAGGTCGATGAAATACCTGTCTCTCTTGCTTGCCTTCCCCAAAAGCTGTCTCAGAGGATACTTCAGGAATACAATGGTTTTCTTCTACTGATTAATGAACCACTTTTCAGTTCATTAAAAACAATTTTTTTCATTATATAGTTTTCTACCACAGGGTTTGTGATAAAACTGAATTTTTTGGATTAACTCAGATTTTTATTAGTTGTTTTTTGGTTTTTGTTTTTTTTTAATGTGTGTGTGTGTGTGTGTGTGTGTGTGTGTGTGTGTGTGTGTGTGTGTAGGGTGAAGAGGACTTCACTAGCAGTATTTAAGAGTTCAGGGACCATTCCTGGTAATACTCAACTTAGCAATTTCAGGCCTACCAAACAGGTACTCAGACCCATCTGGGGAGACCAGGGCTACCCCAGCAGTATTCAGGCATCAACAGGGTCACACCCAGCAGTACTCAGGAGCTATGCATTGCTGGGGATAAAACTCAGCGCCCCGCACATTCAAGGCTTACACTTCAATTCTTCGAACTACCACCCTGTCCATGTGAAGTTTTAAACATTATAGCCCTGTATGCACTATGTCTTGGACATAGTAGGCAAATACATGTCTAGGTTGCACAAATTTCAGGAGTGTTTCTACATATCAAGGTGATGTATTCCAGTAAACCCAGATAGTTGAAGAGTTTGTGAAAGTGTAAAGACATTTTGTCCTTAAGGACAAAATTTATTGATTAGAATCAGTAATTTTCTTTGTAATGATGGGAAGGGGGGCTTTTCCTCAGTGTAGGAGAAGTGCTAAGACCTCAGAGATTAGCTCCGTATACTGTCAATTTATGCAGGTATTTTAGACCATATACTTAAGAGGCTACAATAGATTTAAAGCAGAGTAAATTGAGACACTTGAAGAATAGGAGGCATTATTTGGGACTCTTTGTTGAAGAACGATTTCTGCTAAAGACTTTAAGGTAAGCCATTCTTACCACCGGGAAAGGCCAAGTGTTTCCTTTCCTTTCTGTTATCTATGTAATATCCCTAGCTTGTCAGAAGGATGCTAATAGCCTAAGTCTGAATTCCAGTGCTTTCTATTTGCAGTCTTCTCCAGGAAATTTCAACTAAACCCACAGACTCAAAAGTACCTGACTGTGGTCAAATTATTATGGCAATGTCCATTGCCGATCTGGATTATGACATGGTAAACCCAGTTGAGCGCAGCAGGGGAAAAGGGCTGCTATGGTGGCTGTAAAATATTTTAAATGAATGGACTGCCCAGAAGCTAATTCAAGGACAGTATAGTAGTAGAATCCACAAGGGTCTATTCATGATATCATCCTTTGCTCTGTCACAGATGGCTCATTTCTCGAAATATTGGAACTGACCTAGCATAGCATAGACCGTGTGTTGCTAATCATGAGACTCAGACTCAGCTGGTCTCTCATGGAGAGATTGGACGCTAACCCACTGTGACTTCACATCTCTGCCCTGGAACTGCACAGGGAGTCAGGGAATCCATGTTCTCCTGAGCTTGCCTTCGCTGGGAGGTCTTGGGAGAGTCACTGAGGCTGCTGGGCCTGACTTGTCTTTTGCAAAAGAGAGATGGCAGTGCTGGAAAGATGGAAATCCCTACATTGAAGTGAGAGGATCAGGTGAAATAGACTGCAAGTACATGGTAAGGGGGGAAATGTGAGCTATTAGTGTCAAGATTCTCCCACAGTTCGGCATCAGTCTCTTTAGTCTGGTGCAAGTCATTCAGATTAGTGTCCGTTGCCTCAGAGCAGGGGAGAGAGAGTAGGAGAGGCCCCTTTCTGGCTTATGAGTTTCAAGTCTCTTCCATGACTAAAAGAGGGCATCGTGGGCAGAAGATTTTAAAGAAATCAGGATGAGTGAGAAAAGTCAAGCATACGTGTTCTTGGAGTAGATAAAGAATCCCCCGGACTGGGCATTCAGGTGATTTAAACTTGCTAGGGGGAGGAACATGTAAGTGTGTCCTGGGAGCGGGGATATGTGTACTTTTTTTTTCTATGCCCGGTTTTTAAAAATATTTTTTATTTAATTAAAGGGCTGGAGCAATAGCACAGCGGTAGAGCGTTTGCCTTGCACGCAGCCAACATGGCCGAGCCGAGTTCGATTCCTCCGCCCCTCTCGGAGAGCCCGGCAAGCTACCGAGAGTATCTCGCCCGCACAGCAGAGCCTGGCAAGCTACCCACGATGTATTCGATATGCCAAACACAGTAACAACAAGTCCCACGATGGAGACGTTACTGGACCCACTTGAGCAAATCGATGAACAATGGGAGGACTGTGACCATGATTTAATTAAAGAACGGTGATATACAAAGTTACTGATGTTTGAGTTTTCAGCATATTTATATTTCAACACCAATGAGATCAGAATGCAACCACCAGAACTATGTAATGTGCTTATCAAGGTGACAGTGGGTAGGGAGGGACATGTGTACTTTTCACCTGGATGAAATAGACAAAACCTCCAGCAACTTGTGGGATCCAGCAGCTGAGGAACTTGAGAACTGAAGTTAAGGAAAATGAAGCAAATTCTCTTTTTGACCAAGTTCATGGTCATCATACTAAAATGTAGCCTGTGAAATGTTACTTCCTGGATGGGAGGGCTTTTTCCAGAAGCTCTGGAGTTTATCTGGGGTCTCTGTCTCTGCAGCTCTGAGAGACCTCTGCTGAGTCTCTGTTTTCTCCAATTCCATTCAAGTTCAGCTCCAAACACATCTTAACACATGCTGCACCCCGAAACCTTTTGTGGATATACCTGGACCCCAAGTTTTTCCATTTGGTTGTAGTGGGAAGGCAGACAGCTCTGCCACTCATCACCTCTAAGAATCATTGCCAGGGAGAGGTGATCATAGGAAATAAGGAAAATTATGAAGACAATGATGAATGTCAGCCTCATTTCCACTTCAAAGCTCTTCTTGTTTTTCTAGGCAGACACAGTTTTAAGTCCGTCCCACTCCCATTGGACCCAGTATGTAAGCAACTGAATTTTTTTGTAGCCCATTTTAATTTCATCTTTCCTTATTAAAACTTAAACCAAAGAGTCAAGTTTCCCTGGAAATGTCAAAGAAGAGATCATATTATGTCTACTTAGTTAAGCAGCCCCCTCCAACCAAATCTGATCCAGTTTTTAAATTGACAAAACTAGATTACCAAGGAAATACAGTATCTGAATGCTATGAATTTTTCTTTCTTCATAAAAAAATTATTATAATACTGTGATTTACCAAGTTGCTAATAATACAATTATTTTGCACATTCAATGCACCAATGTAGGCATTGAACACTATCTCACCATCAATGTCACCTTCCCTCCACCAATGTTCCCAGTTTCCCACCCACCACCCCAGCCTACCCCCTTAGCAGGCATAAACAAATTT